GTTGGAAATAAATTAATATCTCGGCCATCACATATTCCTTACACCCGTGAAGTGTGATCGTGTTTAGTTGGCGCACTGTAAGATACGTGACATACGACACCACAACTTAGCCTTACACTCGAATGTAAGTTAAACGAAAATAATATAAAAATAAGGAAAATGTTCTGTTGTTTTCTTTCCTAAAACCATTCATGGCGAAACGGTAGCGTCTTTAGAGTAGTACTTATTTACCATCAAAGTTTCTAGAGCTACAATGAGACCGAACATGTAGGTATTGTCACGGTAATACTATCTATACAGTATTCCAACTCGGCCATATTTTTGAAATAAATGTCAACAGTCGCGCGGTACGTCACAGTATGACAACATGCAATAGGGCTGCCCACCTACAGTACCCACTTTAATTACATCTGCCTACTTAGAATTTCTATCTAGTTTTGTGATTGTATTTTTTTATTTAGTTAGACAAACAAAATACTTTGTAAATGGAATAGGTTAAAATAATGATAATGATCTTTTACGTTAATTTCGGGCGAGCGAAGTCGTGGGCAAAAGCTGGTTTAATGCAATATAATTTTCATTTCAAATCAAACTGACTGAAAATGACAATTTGACTAGTTTTTGACCAATTTGACCGTAAATGACGGTCAGTCAAATTCAATCACTTTTGTCATTTTTAACACTTGGCCACCGACGTCCATTCGGCACATTCGCGACACCCCCGACTTTTGCATACCGAGCGCATACCGAGATTTGAATTTCGAAAGAAAGTGCTCGTTTCGTCTGTTTATATGAAGTTACAATACTGTATGATATTATTACCGTGGTATTGTTAACATTTTCCGTGACAGTGAACTGCTATAGCAGTCATAACAATGAAACTTCTATCGGTGTCTGGGTTACTGTCCGGGAAAGTGATTGTTAATTGTGTCTTCAAGCTCGTCTCTATTCATTTGACTGTAGGCCAAACCAAAATTTAATGTCCATTAATTATCTTGTTAATTGGAATTAATAGACTCAACTGAGCATTTGTTCGAGTGATGTCCCTGGTTCTACCTTTAGAATAATCGTTTACAGTTCCTAACTTTAGGAACACGTGCACGCTAGCCGCTAGGCCAATATCAAAACGTTTTTCGTGGAAACCGATCGGTTTTCACGCTCGAAGTAGCACGCGATTAAATGATTCCCTTTGAAACAGATACGATAAACATTTGCGACAAAGACGCAAACGTTTCCTCGAAAATGCCTATTTCCCGGATTCATTATTCAATCGGTTTAAATATTGACGAGCTATTTTAGGGATGGAGTAGTAGCACAGAATAAGTAATANACGGAAGTCCCTTTGTTAGCTCATGTATTTCAGCAGTTCTATTTTGCACAAAGGTTTTTTGTAAGTTTGGAGACATGTGTAACCACCCTAACACTATCGTTGAATCGGTCCAAAATATTATGTTATCAAAGTGACAATGAAGAGATGTACGTACTTTGTCGTAAAGCCTTGCACCCAGTAAAGCACCACATAGCTCGAGCCTAGGTATGCTAACTGGCTTGATGGGTGCGACCTTGCCCTTAGAAAATAACAATCTAACCGTGATGCCCTGCTGTGTTATTGTACGTACGTAAATACAAGCGCCATACGCAGTCTGCGATGCATCGGTAAAGATGTGTAATTCTATACGTATAGCGTCGCTAGCTATAGCCTGGCGTGGTATGCGTATTGTATTGAGCGCAGACAAGCCATTCACGAAACGATTCCATGCGCGCACGACGTCACTCGGGACCTCATCGTCCCAGTCCAATTGTAATAACCAAAGTCGTTGTAATAAAACCTTAACCATTACTATAGTTGGACTCAACAATCCCAGGGGATCAAATATCTGTGACACATGTGATAAAATAGTACGCTTAGNGCAGATGCAGCAGATGTCAACGGATTTAAAACTGGAGTTCATGTGACTCCTTGTAGACTTGAGTGTCTAGAGCGTCCCTTCCTCCACCATGCGTAAAACTTTTTACAAAAATACTGTCTAAGGTCTGTAGTAAAAGTCTAAGCTGCGAGATATAGTTCCAAAATACTGGACTGTCCTGTCGATGACATTGACAGTGGGGCGCCACCGTCAATATCGGATCGCTGGTTCAGATTTTTGCCATGTTGGAAACCATATAGTTGAACGATGGTAGCGCCCCCCTGTCATTGAGTTTGGCGGGACAGTTCAGCGTGGGTCATCTATAGAAGAATCTTTTAGTCAAAAAGATGACAGATGCAGCATATATCAACGGATTTAAGACTGGACTGGCACCACCTTGCAATGTCATCCTCTCATTGTTATATGTAATGTAAATTATTTTTAAAATATATTTCAAAAATAAAATGTTCGCTTTATTATTTTAATAACACTAGTTTACAAGGTTTTTTACCCAGAGATGAAACTGATAGGTATCGGTAGAGTTATTAACCCTTACTTAAAAACTGAACTTAGAAAAAATTTAGGACGTCATATTTTGTAAATATTGATTATATAAATTTTTATCATTTTTTTAAATGTATCTCTAAAAACAATCAAAAATGAGTCGTGTTACTCCTTCTTTTATACTGATTAGTATCAGTTTCCCTTATTATGGACCTGCAGCAATCCGCTAACATATTTTTATCCCAAATTCCTTGAAATATTTCCTCAAAAACCTTCAAATCCTGGTGAAAACTTTTGCCATGCTCAACACTCACGCTTCCCAGGTGCTCAAGAAAAAAATCCAGGTGATGATGTAAAAAATGAATTTTTAACGACTTATTCACACCCATTCTTTGGTAATTCCTCAATAATTTGGAAATTATTTCTGCATAATTCTCAGATAAAATAGTTTTCCAGGAAACTTTTCACTACTGCTTTAAATTAATACCAAGCATCTTTCCCTTGCTGGAATTGCTGGGTAATGACGGATAAAGAACTCCTTCAGATTGTAGCACAGGTTTTGTGACTGATGCAACATCAGGATATTGTATGTTCTTGGTGTTTGTTGTTAAAACCTGTAGTTTTAGTGAGGCAGAAGTAACAGTCATTAGTTTGATTTGTTGGTTCTCTCCATGACATTGGGGTGCCGAATCGTATATGTTTTCTTTTTCCTGCAGCCTAGTACAATAATATACTTCTCAAATTTTCGTACACTACACCAGGAACACATTTTTTATCAGGTTTGCTACCGAGATATGAAAGTAATAGAAATAGGCCCGTTTTACGGCCTTAGTGACTGGTCTTTTCTTTTTTGACAATATTATTTGACCACAAACTCAGCAAAAGTTATTTGGGCTTAATTTACACTACCTTGGTGATATTTTAAAACAAGTGAAAATGTATAAATAATACTTAAACGCAATTAAAATAAAGTAGAAACTCCGACACGTCTAACAAGACAGCTTACTTAGGTTAATGTGGATATCTCAAAAACTTGACGTGATAAAAATATGAGACATATATTTTTGTAATAAGGGGACTGGTAGAAAACACATCCAATATAAATTATCTTTGGGTAAAAGAAAAACTTTTTTTTTGTAAACTAGTGNATCATACTAAAACGCAAGCCAGCGTCCTGACGGGCGAGCGCGTGACACTCGACTGATATAATACCCGCCGGCGGGGCGCTTCGCTGTAGGTAATTATCGGATGTACCACGCTGAGTGAGCCAGGCCTGGTAGTAGGTACGGACGACAGAACATCAAAACACAGGCGTCTTATTTCGTAGAAATACAGGCTATTTTGCGACTATTACAGTCTGTTGTGCTGGCTGTATTACTTCGCAACCGCCATCGATCTAAAAGTTGGTGGGCGATAAGGCGAACAATCCGAAACATCTCGAAGGCCGACAGCCGTCAAACTTTCCGCGGGGATCGAGATTAAAGTGCGGGGTAATCGCGGATAAGCGTTTTTGATGATTGATTTTTCTTTGTTCCGGAATTAGACAAAAGAAAATTTTGTAATCAGTTCATAGGTAATAAAATTAGGGTCATTTGACTTGAAAGATGATGGATGATGACGATGGTTTTTTTTTGTCTGGTCCGTGAGCACGTAGAATCCCGTCCAATGGGGTTACCTACGCCATATCGAATGACAAATGATCGAAAATCAAAATATCGAATACGTTTCATCGAACGATCAAAATATCGAACGATCAAAATATCGAATGCTCAAAATATCGAACGTTCAGAATATCGAACCATCAAAATATCGAACGATCAAAATATCGAACGATCAAAATATCGAAAGTCGATATAGACGTTTTATTAAATTTCATCATGCATCATTTCTTCAAGTTTATAAATTTTGAGAAATAATGTCCGTGGGGACCTATTATAAGCCTAGCCTGTCCCAAAAAGGAAAGTTCAGAAATGATGCGTGATGAAATTTAATAAAAACGTCTATATCGACTTTCGATATTTTGATCGTTCGATATTTTGATGGTTCGATATTCTGAACGTTCGATATTTTGATCGTTCGATGAAACGTATTCGATATTTTGATTTTCGATCATTTGTCATTCGATATGGCGTAGGTAACCCCGTCCAATGACCCCAAGCTATGTCGCTGGCGACTGTGCGACGCGCGCCCGCAGTGAGTGTGCGAGCGCGACAGCAACATAATTACGTGCGAGCGACAAGGATGGGCAGCTTGGGGTCATTGGACGGGATTCTACGTGCTCACGGACCAGGCTTTCGTTTTTAAAGAAATTTAAAATTACAAGTTCGTCAACTGACTCAAAAAATAAATACATTTAAAATTACAAGTTCGTCAACTGACTCAAAAAATAAATACAAATTTAACGTAGGTAACATTTCATTTCTTTGCCCTATACAACAGTAGTCTTGCTTTGCCCTACAATTCGATCGATCGTAGTTATCCCTATGATTAAATTTTCCTTTTAAATAAGCTGAATTCTCTCTTATTTTGGCATTCGTTTCAAATATTCGCGATGTAAACAATGTGTAAAGTGGCGAGTGTCGTCCGCAGGCATGTGGGTGCCCAACCTGCCGGTGACGATCATCAGCGCCGTGGCGGCCAGCGCGGGCGCAGCTTGCATTTACAAGTGAGTACTTTTTGATAAGTATGTCTAAGATACTGACAAAAACCCCTTTCTTTGATTGTAGGTGTTTTTTTTTTTCAAATAAGGTAGCTGCAACGAGGTCTTTTCAGCTATGTCCGAGCGAGAACCCCTTTGCTACAACACCGTAAACCCTCACTTTTTAGAAAGGGCTTCTTATTTATCATCTTGGATTCGTGCCTACATCCAATCCAATGTCTTTGAATCTTTTAGATAGAGTTGACTTGACCTAACTGCTCTATTAACAGCGGAACAGCGCTTTTGAGTTAAGAGTTTCCAAATTACCGCATACCTACTACGCTGTAAAAATGTGGAAAAATAAGCTTAAATCTTCTTTCAATGGCTTGGACCATCGCCACTATGAAGCAGGAGTCTAAAATTAATCACTCAATCGTATCCGTTCCTCAGAGACTTCCACGGCGGCCCGCCCTACGACCGCGACGTGCGAGCTGACGGGAAGACGGTGGTGATAACTGGCGCCAACTCCGGCATCGGGAAAGAAGCGGCCTGGGAGTTCGCCAATAGGGGCGCCAAGGTATGTACAAATACTATTCGCACCTCATTCCTTAGATACTTCTACGGCGGCCCGCCCTACGACCGCGACGTGCGAGCTGACGGCAAGACGGTGGTGATAACTGGCGCCAACTCCGGCATCGGGAAGGAGGCGGCCTGGGAGTTCGCTAACAGGGGCGCCAAGGTATTATACAAATAGCCATATTTATCTTGGCCTTAGGCCTTCGCTAAGGCTGGTTTTAGTGTCACGCGGACTGTCAGTGCGGATCGCTCCGCACAGCCGATCTGTGTGAACTGCTAGGGAGCGAGCGGTTCCTCCGGACCGCATTACTCTAAAACGCTCCCTAGAAGTTCATACAGATTGGACGTGCGGAGCGGGTCCGCACAGCGGGACGGTCCGCGTGACACTAAAACCAGCCTAAAACTGGAGCGGGCATCCGCACGCATGTCTTCATTGAAAAATAGTTATTGAGCAGCGCATGCGTGTCACTTATTTCTTCCACACGCGCGGTGAGTGGCAGGCGTGCATTTCCGTGCATCAATAGGCTAGGTTAGATACCCGCCACATATCCCCGCTTCGTGCACCTACGGAAGTTTTGTCCTGACAATCTCTGAAGTACCCATACTATAAAAGTTTAACCAGGCTTTTTTCCTTCTTTGGCTCTCGCAGATTGCGATTTAACCAGGTTCATTCGTGCCATTTCCAGGTGTTCATGGCATGTCGTGACATGGAGAAGTGCGAAGCGGCGCGTCGCGAGATCGTGACGGAGACCAGGAATAAATACGTGTACTGCCGGCCCTGCGACCTGGCCAGCACCGCTTCCATCCGCCAGTTTGTGGAGAGGTGAGTCCAGTCATATCTATAATACCGGTTTTATCTAAAATCAGCGTCGTAGTCCACATCTTAAGAATATTAACCACAGTGCCCTAAATGGCATCCATTTTGTTGTTACCTTTTTTTACACATCTTTTTTATTTTAGATTTTTTTTTCGCATTGCAAAATATATGTTAAATAATGTAACCATAATCAAAAAGTACGCAACATGATTGCAACTACATACGATCTCGTTCGCCCCACTACACCAATGACGTAGTTGTAGCTTGGAGGGGAGGGCACTTCCCGTAGTCATTCCGCTATTGACTGTCGAACAGTACGGACGTCTAAGGAGAAACTGGTCTATTGTGTATAAAATTAATAAGCCATTCTTTAATTAAAATAAATTTAAATGTGAGTGTTATGTTTGCAATAATTAAACGAAAATCCACCCATTGAAGTTGTTTGACTCGAATGTTATACCGAAGAATTAGTTGGACGTTCGAAGCTTCGACTCTTTCTACGAGTATTACCCGTGTCGTACGTGCGTGTCGTAAAGACTTCTTACGCAATGAGGGCTATCGTTTTAGCGCTCACCAGTTAGCGCCACTGTAGAGTAAGGTCCTGTCACTTGCTAGTAGCGAAGACAGTGGCACCAACTGGTGAGTGCTAAAGTGGTAGGAGGACTATCGCATTTGCATTCATCAAGATGGCGCCACTGTAGAGTAGGGTCCTGTCAATCGCCAGGGGAGCCAACTGTTAAGTATAAAAACGATAGCCCTCATTAAAATTTTATTGTCCTTCAAATCGGGGCACTGACATAGAGGCCATCTCATCAGACCTACCTCTTGCCGCAGGTTCAAATCGGAGGAGCCACACATCCACGTGTTAGTGAACAACGCGGGCGTGATGGAGCCTCCAACACGCGTGACCCGCGACGGCTTCGAGACGCAGTTAGGAGTCAACCACATGGGGCACTTCTTGCTGACTAATCTGCTATTGGATACACTCAAGGTAAGGCAACAACGGCTTTGAACTTAAGTATGATTATGTCACTCCAGTGGCAGGCCCTGTATCAAAATTTGTTGGCCTTTCATCTGAAAAAAGTCTTTGTAAACAGGGCATTTCAAACAGAGGTCCTTTAAAAGAAGTGATTGCAGGCAGACCTCTGGTACTTTAACCTTGCGGTTTACCAGTTAACTCTTTCTACCAGTGAACCCCGTATCATTGATGCAGTATTAAATACGCCCGTGTTTCACTCATAAGCGGCTAAGATAGTAGCGCTAACTTTTGAGCGCTGTGGAGATAGGACTGTCGCATGTAGTAAGTTGGCGCCACTGTCGTGACGGGCCTGTAGCTCGCCAAAAGCACCAACTAGTCAACATAATGTTTGCAACGCTTTCGTAAATGTTTGCTTTATTATAGGTTACTTACTTCTTAGATAAAGAAGTAAGTCCCCAACCCTTCTGGCCATTGGGAGTATAGTCCAAATCCTCCATTTGCCTCTGGTAAATTAGTCCTGCTTCTACAGAGACTTATGCCCGTTTTCACCATCAATCCCTAATTTTTGAGTAACCCCTATTAAAACAAAATTCCTGTTATGTGTTACCATAGGGGTCACTTAAAAATTAGGGATTGATGGTGAAAATGGGCATTAATGACCTGGATCTCTTTTCCGCAGGCGTCAGTCCCGAGCCGCGTGGTGGTGGTATCATCAAGCGCGCACTACAATGGCCACATTCTCAAAGAGGATCTCAATATGACGCGCAACTACGACGCGCGCGCGGCTTACGCGCAGAGCAAGCTCGCGAATGTTCTGTTCGCGAGGGAACTTGCCAAGAACACGCTCGGTATGACTAATAATAATCTTGTTGATAGTAACAAGCTGGTAGAGAATGACTTATGGCATTAAGCTCGCCTTTTTGTACGGAACATTGTTATGTGTGTGCAATAAAGTCTTTAAATAAATAAATAAATAACATCTAGCAACAGTTTGCGCAAAATTTCATTGCGAATCTTTTTTTTTTACACGTTTGGTAGAATTATAAATAAATTAATAATATAATAAATATCCTTGGACATTTTACACTGCGCTTCTAGTCCCAAACTAAGCAAAGCTTGTACTATGGGTACTAGAAAACGGATATAAACATACTTAAATCCTTTTTTTTTGTAAATACATACTTATTATACATAGAAAACAACCAGTCCAATACCACAGAATAATAATAAGTACTACGTAAAACAAATATGTTCGTTCATGCACACAAATATTTGTACTGTGCGGGAACTACAACACTACCTCCGGAATAGTAGTCCGTTTCGAACCACTACACCAAACGGCTGAATCTATAACATATAATAACAAACGGACTTATTCAATAATTTCTTGTCTGCCCAATTTATGCACAATATACAACATGACATTTATGGACCCTTAGAAGATACTAACCACTGGTTCCAATTCCTCAGACGCGGGCATATCCGTCATAGCCGTGGACCCGGGCCTGACGGACACGGCGCTGACACGCCACCTGCCCATGACCAGGAGCCTGACGCGCTACCTGGTGTACCCGGTGTTCTGGCCCGTCATGAAGACGCCCAAGATCGGTGCACAGGTCATCCTGCACGCTGCACTGGATCCAAAGCTGAGGAGATGCGCAGGAGACTACTATGTGTAAGTTGATTTAAGGCCCACAACACACATGCTACTAGTCGCTGGTCTGCGAGCACGTAGAATTTTGTCCAATGACCCCGAGCTCGCGTATAGTGAGGGCTATCGTTTTTATACTTAACAGTTGGCACCCCTGGCGATTGACAGGACCTTACTCTACAGTGGCGCCATCTTGATGAGTGCAAATGCGATAGTCCTCCTACCACTTTAGCGCTCACCAGTTGGTGCCACTGTCTTCGCTACTAGCAACTGACAGGACCTTACTCTACAGTGGCGCTAACTGGTGAGCGCTAAAACGATAGCCCTCATTATATTGCTGTCGCGACTGTGCGACGGGCGCCCGCAGTGAGTGTGCGAGCGCGACAGCAACATAATTACGCGCGAGCGATAAGTATAGGTAGCTTGGGGTCATTAGACAAAATTCTACGTGCTCACAGACCGGGCTTTAGCACCGGTGATTTAGTTGCTTTTTAGAAGTTGAATGCAGCGACCACACAGTACACTTAAAAACGCCAAACGCGACGGTTGAGTTCCTTTTAGGATGCCTGGTCGCATCGATTTGGCATTTACGTCTACCTAACTAACCATCAAGAAGAGAGCGTATCTACACCTTAAAGGCCGGCAACGCACTTGTTACGCCCCTGGGACTGCGGGTGTCTATGGGCGACGGTAATTACTTACCATCAGGTGATCCGACTGCCCCTTTGCTTTGTCACATAAAAAAAAACCTGTCCGTCAGCCGAGTGTGGCCGATCCAACATCGAAGCAGTCGCTAAAACGATTTGATATTGCGATCGAACCGCAAAGTCACCAAAACGTGATTCAGCATCGATGCAGTCTCAAAATCGCCAAGCCGATGCTAAAAGTTGCATATCTGCTGTGGCCCCCAACAAAGCATGAACTAATTTCTAGAAGTGCATAAGGTAACCAATTTTTTTCACTATTCAATCTTTACTTTCATGGTGTCCTATCGTTACAGAGACATGAAGCCAGTGGAGCCTTCGAAGGAGGCGCAGGACTTCGAGTTATCTCTCTGGCTGTGGCGCGTCAGCGAGAAGTGGACGCGCCTGCGCAAGCAGCCTGCGCAACCCGCCGCCGCGTGAGCTTGATCTTGAGACTCGACTTATCTTGTGAGATCCACGATTTTTCTTTTTCTTTTTTTATGGCTTTGGTAACCTCGATTTTGCCAATGTCAGAAGTGCTCAAAATGTTAACATTGGCACACAATAACTCAGCATTAGACTTTCACAGCTACACGACTGAAAGATAACTTCTATTAATTAAAAATAACTTTGGTACATTATTTGGTATAGATAGATGAACTGATGAACTACACTGAATACCACCCGTGACATTGACAGGAAGGCGCCACATTTACTGCCGGGTCCGGGTTACTATTTTCTATCTTTGCTATTTGACGTTTAAAAATCGTTCGTCTTTAGTTAATTTTCTCACATGCTCAAAATTTTTTTACATGCATGATGTAAGATTATGTAGAATAACTGTCAGCCTCTTCATAATAACTTTTTTGTAGATCACTGTTTTAAGTGATCTTAGATCAACGTGGTATCTTCGTCGGATCAACGAAGTAAAAATTATCGAGTCTCAGGTTAAAACTATTAGATTATTTAAATTAAATGCGACTGTCTGATGGAGCAAGTGGTGTTGAACAAAGTTGGTTTCGTTCTAGATATAAGCATTTGTGTGCATTTATTTAGTTGTTGTTAGTTATTTAATAAAAAATAAAACAAAAATTTATTAATAATATAAAATTTATTTTCATGTAAATTCTTATCCTAACTTACTCTAATAACTTAAAAACTATATTCACAAATAGTGTCATTTTCCGTCACGTGACTTGCTTAAGAAATTTTTTCTTCAAGTCAATGCGTATGACCACGATTTTTGAGGATTTTGTCAGTCTAAAGCCGCATTAAGCATAATTTCTCTCACGTCATCATAATACTATAAACCTAAAACCTTTACAAACTTTACAATGAAGCCTTTTGAATAAAAAAGCATAGTTCGTAAAGAAAAACAAAATATACAATAGTCTGTCGCCAGGCCACGCCCACTTTTACACATTCTACTCTCTTCTGGTTATAGCAGCACTATTACAATTAATACATAATATCTGTGTTTTACCATCGAAAGGTGGTACTCCACCCAATGAAAGTTTACAGCACCAATAAATCGAAGCTTCTATCACCCTTTTAAAAAATATTTTGATATTTTTTCAGTCTATTTTATTTACAAATCGCACTTATGCGGCCGTTTTATTATCACTGTCCCTATTGATGGATGATGGATTCCGATACGCCCTCGATTATTTATAACTATGACTATGATGTGGTCGCACGCCCGTAGTAGGCCGTGTCGAATAGTCCCACGTGCGGCTCTCCCAGATAAGACGAGCGGTCTCACAGTAGCGTGTGTCACTCCCATATAGACGGATACCATCCGGAGTACCTCCGGTCTATCAGTAACGAGTGTGGCTCGCTCCTAGATAGAGGGCAGTGGAACAGTAGCGGGCATGGCGCGAGCGCGCGGCTTGTCGTCCTAGTAAGCCGCGTTGAATAGTAGCGGGCGTAACGCACTCGCAAATAGAGGGGCCACCGCGTCATGCGTGCTGCATGGAACAGTGGGGGGCGTGGCTCACTCCCGATAGGGGGCGGTCCGATTTGCGCGTGTGCTACTCCCCTGTAGACGGATGATGCTAAGTATCATTCCCATATAGACGGATGGTACTCCGGCCGGTCGAACAGCAGCGGCGCGGGCGCGCGCGCTGTAATAGTAACGGGTGTGGCTCACTCTCAGATAGAGAGCGGTCTCACAGCAGCGGGCGTGGCTTGTTCCAGATAGGGGGCGGACTCACAGCAACGTAGCTCACTCCCTCACTCCCTAAAGACAGATGATGCTATCATTCCCATATGGACGGGTGGTATTCTGGTCTATCGAACAGCAGCGGCATTGGAGGGCGCGCGGGCGGCGGCGCGTGCGCGTGCAGCAGCTGCAGCACGCCCGTGCCCACGCCGGCCGGCACGCCCACGATGATGGATTCTGATACTCCCTGGATGTGGTCGCGCTGTTCATAGTAGGCTGCTTCAAACAGCAGTGCATGTATCCTCACTCCGAGCCGAGATAGCGAACGCGGCGCGCGAGCGCTGGCAGTATCGTCTTAGTCAGTCGCGTCAAACAGTAGCGGGCGTATTATAACGCACTCGCAAATCAAGCAGCGGTGGCGTGTGTTGTGTGGAACAGTAGTGGACTCCGACACGCCCTGGATATGGTCACGCTGCCCGTAGTAGGCTACTTCAAACAGCAGCGCGTGTATCCTCACTCCAAGATAATAGAACGGTCTAACAGTAGCGGGCGTAGCGCGTGAGCGTGGGCGGCGTCGTCCTAGTCAGCCGCGTCGAACAGTAAAGCCTGGTCCGTGAGCACGTAGAACTCACAGAGCTCGCACACTCACTGCGGGCGCGCGTCGCACAGTCGCGACAGCAATATAATTACGCACGAGCGATAAGGATGAGTAGCTTGGGGTCATTGGACGGGATTCTACGTGCTCACGGACCAAGCTTTAGCGGGCGTAACTCACTCACATATAGAGGGGCGGTGGCGCGTCATACTTGCTGCGTAGAACAGTAGGGGGCGTGGCTCACTCCCGATAGGGGGCGGTCCCAGTTACCGCGTGTGCTACTCCCATATGGACGGGTGGTACTCTGGTCTGTCGAACAGCAGCGGCATTGGAGGGCGCGCGGGCGGCGGCGCGTGCGCGTGCAGCAGCTGCAGCACGCCCGTGCCCACGCCGGCCGGCACGCCCACGATTATGGATTCTGACACTCCCTCGATGTGGTCGCGCTGTTCATAGTAGGCTGCTTCAAACAGCAGCGCGCGTAACTTCACTCCGAGATAGTGAGGCGGTCTAACAGAAGCGGGCGTGGTGCGGCGTCGTCCTAGTAAGCCGCGTTGAACAGTAGCGGGCGTAACGCACTCGCAAATAGAGAGGCGGCGGCGCTTCATGCGTGCTGCGTGGAACAGTAGGGGGCATGGCTCACTCCCGATAGGGGGCGGTCCCAATTACCGCGTGTGCTACTATGCTACAGCAGCTGCAGCACGCCCGAGCCCACATCATGTGATGAACTCCGACACGCCCTCAATGTAGTCGCGCTGTTCATAGTAGGCTGCTTCAAACAGCAGCGCGTGTATCCTCAAGTCTGTCCAAGATAGATGGGCGGTCTAACAGTAGCGAGTGTGGCGCGAGCGCGTGGCTTGTCGTAGTCAGCCGCGTCGAACAGTAACGGGCGCAACTCACTCGTAAATAGAGGAGCGGTGGCGTGTGTTGTGTGGAACAGTAGGGGGCGTGGCTCACTCCCGATAAGGGGCGGTCCCAATTCTTCTCTATAGACGGATGATGCTATCATTCCCATATGGACGGGTGGTACTCTGGTCTANCAAGTCATTTATGCCTTTCATGCGTAACTTTAAATCTATGCGTTTTTGAACGGGTAAATCTTGATTAACGAGAGTATTTATGTAATTTGACATTCTCGTTAACCTGCCCTTTAGAATTCCCCGTGTTTTGACTAACTCCTTAAGCACATTATTGTCACTTGGCTCAGAGAGAGCAAGTTTAAACGGTGACTTTTCTGATGTCATTATGGTGATTTGTGGAAACACTTACGGTTTAATCCTGGTGTGTAGGCGGATGCTAGATGCCGTAGCACAGATTGAATGGATGAATGCAAGCACTGGAATGAGAAATAAAGCACAGTATCAACACAAGAGAAGCTGGGGAGGCAGGTTAGGGAAAGAATGGCTGGCCGTACCGAAATGCGCTTTGTAGTTTGTAGACCTGCTGCAGACTTTCACGACGTCTTAACCGGGTGCCTTTCCTCAGTCTTCGTCCTCTATGCACGTTTTGGATGGCTTTTCTTCACCTTGCGATGTGTGAAGTTGCACGAAGTCCAAGGGTCGCCGAGCCTTTTCTGTAGTTAATTCGGCCGCGAAGGAACACAATGTTGCTGCGATGCTCGTAACTCGAAGAGGCGTGTTGATATGTTGCGAATTGAAATGCTTTTTCTTCATAAAATTGCGTATATTCTCAGTTTCAGTTAATTTAAAGCGTTAAGTCGTTACAAGTATTTGAAAGCGAATCGTATTATATAATTGACAAAAAACATATTTTTTAATTAGTGGGGTGGCTCAGTGGCGCCACTTCAAATTAGTCTATGATGCTAATAATGCTATGGTTATGACACCGACACAAAATAATGTTACCGTTAACTACTAGACACCTCGGAAATCCTTCTACCTTATTATTCCCATGTAAATTTTCCAAATGAAATTGGATAACGAAAATCTCCCCAAAGAATACATACACGCACCTTTATTGCTTACTACACCAAGCCTTTTACCATAATCTGTGCAAATGGCGCAAATCTCGCTGATAATAGAGATAATGGGACAGGCCGTCCCACCCAATCCTGCGGCAATCTAATTGAGTCCAGAAATACGGGACACTCGGTTTTTACGAGCTCGTACTTTACAGCATCGACGGTGGACAGGTCCTGTTTAGTGTTTTTAAGGAGATTGGACTTGGAATCTAGTGCCCGCTTGTAAAACGAAATTGAACGCACATAGTAAAAGGAGAAGGCAGTAGGTTCAGTTAATACCAGACAGTGTAGACACGCGAGTCTAGCGCTTAACACAGATACGCCCGTATCGTATTCACAACTCTGTGGTTAGTTCGTGTATCACCCTGTGCGTCCACTCGCAATATGAGACCTCATAGTAATGTTTGTGAATACAGGAGCTAATGCCGGAGGTATGGAAGCGGCACGAGAGGGTGTTTTTGGGACGTCAAACGTTAGTGAGACTTCAAATGTGCTTCAGACTTGTATACTCTGTCACATCATTGTTACCCCTCCCATGTCTATTTTATATTTACTATTATGTCGCTCCTATGCCTCAGACATTGACTTCGTCTTGCGCTAGACATTTAGTATATTAGATTACTAAAATGGAGAGCACAATTTAAATATAGCATAAAAATTGTGCAAGCCTCAATATCTCGATATTTACATACCTACGTCCTACACATAAGCCTACTGTAACAATTTCTACTGTGAAAATGCACCAATAGTACAAAGGGAATAGGAAAAAATACTGAAAATCTACTGAACGTGAATACTCGGAGTTTCACCGATAGCATCTAAAAGATGTTGTCTGAAATCTTTCGGAATAATGTATTCAAATAAGTTTCCGAAGCTATACAAAAGAGTTTTATTAAATCCGGATTCATATTCTACAAGCAGTAACAAATGTTTTTGTTGGAATTCTATATTGTAAGAATAACCTAATATTGAATGTACCTAAATACTCGCTTGGATCCATAGTTATGTAGAAAAATAATACGTATTTGGAAAAACATTCCATATAGGAGCTTAGGAATTTCGGGTAGAATATTTATAGCCAGCAAATCCTCTGGTATACCTACCTCATGTTTGCGACTCGATGCGAGCGTTACGCGAACGTAACGATGCGATTTTTGTCGTCACTTCGTTAATACTACATCAAATTCAGACTCAATACCGATTGTTAATTTGTATGAAAAGAAAGATTTGGTGTAAACCCATCTTTATCATTAACAAGGTAACCGACGACCTGATAAAGCAGGAAGGTGCTGGATGCAGGCCGCTACCAACCGTGCGATGTGGAAGTCATTGGGGGAGGCCTATGTTCAGCAGTGGACGTCCTGTGGCTGAAATGATGATAATGAAACCCATCTTTCAACCCTTGACAATCTTTCACGCACATGTCACGTGGAAGTCAGTCGTTAAACCAACCTGTTACATCTGCCACTGGATACGACGAGATGCTAGACAAGTAGATCTTTTAGATAATAAATCAAGTACAAAGGATTCCACCAGCTCGTATTAAGCGTTTCGTTGACTCTTTTATAATGCGAACAGCTAGGGACTGGAATTCGCTGCCTGCTGCTGTCTTTCCCGAAGGCTACAATCCGGGCCTTTTCAAGACGAGATTGAATAGGCACTTACAGGGCAGATAAGTACCAACCTAGACTGCATCCCACTTAACACCAGGTGCGATTGTGGTCAAATGAAATACCACCTTGTTATGAAAAAAAAAATATTGTAGGCATCTGACCACCATTTAGGAAGTGTAGAAAAAAACACAACCAAAGTTGGATA